CAGCTCTTTTGCTGGGACAGTCACCAAGGGACTCTCCACCAGGACAGGAGGAGGCAAAGCGAACCACGTGTAAGTTGTGACTCCAGCATAACTCAGGCACCAGGTGGTGGTGGCACTCAGGACACTGGCCACGCAGCCTGTGCTCCCACAGGACACGCTGGGGAGCCCACCCACAATGGCGCCAACAAAAGAAGCTGTATCACCTTGCCTTTGAGAGTGTAGGTTTGTTACTGATAAGGAGAAAATATATAAATATAGGCTGGCAATAGCCACGCTGTGTCCTCTGAACCCTTGAATTAGAATAAGCCATACGAGGTCTTCTCTGGTTCCAGACGAAGCATAGATTATTTTGTATAAATCTGTAAGGAATGATGGTGGAATTTTGATAGGGATTGAATTAATGCTGTACCTCACTTTAGGTAGAATGGACATTTTAACAATATTGATTCTACCAATCCATGAGCATGGTAGGGATTTCCATCTGTGCACATCGTCTACAATTTCTTTTCTCAGTGTTTTGTAGTTCTCCCTATAAATATCTCTCACCTCCTTGGTTAAATGTATTCCTAAATATTTAATTTTCTTTGATGCTATTCTGAAAGGTGTTGCGTCTTTGATTTGATTTTCGGCTTGACTGCTATTGGCGTATAGGAATGCCACTGGTATGTGTGCATTTTTGTATCCTGAGACTTTACTGAATTCATTTATCAATTCTAGGAGTCTCTTGGTTGAATCCTTGGGATTTTCTAGATACAATAGCATATCATCAGCAATGAGTGAGAGTTTGACCTCTTCTGCCCCCATTTGGGCACCCTTAATTCCCCTTTCTTGTCTGATTGCTCTGGCAAGGACTTCCAGCTCTATGTTGAATAGAAGTGGAGACAGTGGGCAACCTCAAAAAAAAGAATTTAAATAATCCTTGCGGGTGTTCTTCAGGAACTGAAATCTCCCCTCCAGGTTCTGAACCAGCACTCAGGGGCCCCACCCAAGGCTTCTATAAACATAAGCACAAAACTAACAGTTTGTGTTTCTGTAAACCCAAAAGTTGGGCTTCTTGGATAAAGTAAAACGTCAATCAGAATAGCCGAGAGCAGAAGGGATCTAAGATGCAATACTACTGCTTTAAAGTAAGACTTAGCCATAAACATAATATTCTCTCTCCCTTAATTTTTCATGAGGATTAGAAGGAAGCAAAACTCAACACCTGGTAAATACATTTAAAGTGTCTTAGCCAAGGCAGGTCGGTCTCTGTGTGCTCTCATTTGCGCTTTGCAGGTGCTGGCGGCAGCGGCCCCCTTCTCCCCTCCATAGGGTGACCCCGTCCGGGGCCATCGCCTGACGCTGCTGCTCTCTCTGCCTCTCTCATCCTTGGCTTTGCCTGTGGCTGGGGCAACGAGCAGCCTTTCTAGCCCATGAGACAACAAAAAGCTCTTCTTTTACAAAATGGAAGGCCTGCACGCCCCAACCTGACCTCAGTGGTTCGCACCTTTCCGATGTTTCTCCCGAATCAGCATTTAGCAAACTGGCTTCCCGATGAAGCCCTTCCTCTCTCCAACGACCACACGCTCAAATACAATGTTAAAGCCTTCACGCTACATGGAAGTTCCTCCTCGTGTCCTTTTTTAGGTGCCACGTATTTGTTGAAGAAGCTGGCTCGTTTGTCTTGTCGGTTACCACACGCTGAATTTTGATGGCTGCCTCCTTGTGGTCACTGGCCTATTCCTCTAGACCCTGTATTGTCTGCAAACTGGTAGTTAGATCCAGAGGCCTGATCAGATTTTGATCCAGTTTTTTAAAAATCAGGAGACACATGCTAGTTGTCTCACCTTGAGTGATGCTGAGATGGGTCACTGGGTTCAGGTACTGTTGCTCTGATCCAGCCCCAATGCCAAACATTTTGATGAGATCCTTTGGCAGCTGGGCGGGGCCTGGATTGGAAGAAGGGCAGGGGTGGCAGGAGGCCCACGTAGGAAATGACAGGTGCCTTGGAACAAGGAAGTGGGGTTGGGGCAGGTGGGGACCCAAGCTGTGTGTCAGAGGCAGACTGGACAGGACCGTGCAGCGGGCGGAGCGAGAGGGGAGGGCGGGATGGCCGCAGGGTGGGGCTGGTGACGGGGGAGGCGGGAGGAGCCCGTCCCTGGAGGAGACGTTGAAGGGACTCCCGACAGCAAACGGTTCCCGTAATGTGAGCATGAGATCGGGAGCAGTGGAGGGAAGAAGGATTGTCCAAGCGCCAGAGTAGGACAGGGCTGTGAAGAAGCAGCAAAGGAGGAAAGACGGTGACCAAGAGCCCACTTCGTGCCACACCCCTAAGCATTTGCTTACACTCCGTTGTTGGAGGCAGGCTTGCGAGGCTTGGGAGTTGTGTAACATGTCTGTGTGTGCGGAGGTATGTTGTGTTTTGCAATTCTGCCCTTTGCCACACCGGGAAATCCATTTCTGTCCCCCCCATCTTCACCTGATGCGGTGGCACAGCCTCTTACGGGCCTCCCGGGCTCCCTTCCACCAGGACTTCTCTGGCCAGGGGCCGCTGCTTTCTCAGGGCCCGGCCCAGGAGCAGTTCCTCGGGTGAACACTGCCTACATCAGCTGGCGGGAGCCTCTTCCAAACAAAGGAGGGAAATAATGATAAAAACAGGAAGTGTCCAGCAGGCCCACAGGGGAGATATTTCAACCCCTACCCCTCCTTCCAATCACAGGACCAGGGGGAAAAGTAAGAGAATAGTCCCAGTCTAATAATGTGGCAACCAAGGACCAAAACGCTGAGCCAGCCCTGGCCATCCACCCCTCAGATACCCAGTCCAATTTTCTGTACCACGTCACACACCCTCAAACCCTGCCTGCAGGTACTGTCCCGTTTCTTTCTACGTTGGTCCTCATATGACGGGGTACAGCGGAAAGAAAAGGAGGGACATGCCAATCGATGCCATTATGATCACTACAGCTTATTTATGGTCACGCCAGTTTACATGCCAAAACATGGGCTAAAAGCAGGACCAGTAGGGAAGGGAACATGATTAAGAGCCACATCAAGTACAGAGCCAGGGGGCCTGGGATGACAGTTAAACTAGGGAAAAAAAAAAAAATAGCTACCACTTTTGAGCAAGGTTCTGTGCCAGGACTTCTCATGCATAGCTACAGCCCTCCTGACATGCCTGCAAGGTGACTATTATTATTTACAACTTGCCCACAGGAAGCTCAGGTTCAGAGAGGTGGAGTAACACGCCTCAGGTCCCCACACTCGTGTTGGCATGGCCATGACTTGAGCTCAACTCTGTTAGACTGGGAAGCCCAAGCTGACTTCCAAAACACCCACTGCCTGCGACATTTTAATCTGGCGGGAGGTGGTAGATCTGAGCTTTCTGGCTTCTGAGACAAAAAGGAAAATGTAGTCCTTAACACGCCGCAGAAGAAAGCAAAGTCGATTGTTAAGAAAAAGAACCGCTTTCCTAGCAGGAAACCAGAATAGGAGTTATTTCCTGAAAGCCTAAGCAAAGGGAATTGAACAAAATCAGTTCATTGTATCTATCAGGTTATTCGTGTGGAAACTAAGATGAAACGCTTGCATCCTGTCATTTCAGTGCATGCACTTGATCTTCCTAAAACACACCTGTGGCCACATCACGCTCCACTCAAAACTTGGAACAGCTCTCTGTTGTCCCCATCAGTGCATCTCAAATTTGTAAGAAAATAAAAACAGGATGCCTTTTTCAGATGAAATCTTACATGGAATGCCAGATACAGCAAGAAATAGAAGCAGACCTGGATAAGCTAACGCAGAGGGTGGAGGGAGAAGGGAGAGAGGGAGCGAAGGGTCGGGCGCCCAGACATTTCTCCCCTGAGTTGGCTTCTCCCTTTTTGCCACCTCCCCAGCAAGACCTTTAACCCCCCTGCACAGGCTAGAGCTCCTTTTGAAATGTTCCGATCCACATGAGAAAACGCAAAGCTTTCAGCCTGACGATCAAAGCCCCCCATAAACCATCCCTGACAGCTATTTCACTTATATTCCCTCCGCTATTCCCAAGCCCTGGCCACCTGCCAGTCACAGGCCTATGCTGTACCTGCTCTCTCAGCACTCTTCAAACACACCCCGAATTCACCCATGGTCTCTCCTGTGCCCAACCTGTGCTTAGCCCCAATGTCCACCCACCTGTCTAAACCCTTTCTAGCTTTCCAGAAGTTCATTGCGCTCTGTGCAAAGCCGACCTACCCCTCCTGAATCTAGCTTTCCAGAAGCCTTCATTGCGCTCTGTGCAAAGCCGACCTACCCCTCCTGCTTTCCAGAAGCCTTCATTGCGCTCTGTGCAAAGCCGACCTACCCCTCCTGAATCTAGCTTTCCGAAGCCTTCATTGCGCTCTGTGTGAAGCCGACCTACCCCTCCTGAATCGAGCTTTCCAGAAGTTCATTGCGCTCTATGCAAAGCTGACCTACCCCTCCTGAATCTAGCTTTCCAGAAGTTCATTGCACTCTGTGCAAAGCTGACCTACCCCTCCTGAATCTAGCTTTCCAGAAGCCTTCATTGCGCTCTATGCAAAGCAGACCTACCCCTCCTGAATCTAGCTTTCCAGAAGTTCATTGCGCTCTGTGCAAAGCTGACCTACCCCTCCTGAATCTAGCTTTCCAGAAGTTCATTGCGCTCTGTGCAAAGCCGACCTACCCCTTCTGAATCTAGCTTTCCGAAGCCTTCATTGCGCTCTGTGTGAAGCCGACCTACCCCTCCCGACTCTCCTCTTGCCTGGCAGTCTGCAACTCCGTTCGAGAGCTGATTTAGCTCACTCTCGTGGTGTGGAGTTCTCTGTGCCCAGGTCTGTCTTCCCACCCCAGTAAGATGTGGCTTTCCCTTCGCTGGTTACCCCCTGGCTGCCCAGCACAAGCAGAATAGCTGCTCCAGCAATGTTCACTGAGAGTCCACCCCCATCGCTCCCGTCCCTCCCAACCTACAAGGAATGAATGGCCCCCACGTGGAAGGACATGATGTGGATTTGCTATTACAGGCCCAGCATGTGCAGCACCAGCGCCTGTGACCTGGAAGAAATCCCCCTGGACGACGATGACCCAAACAGCATGGAATTCAAAATCCTGGCCTACTACGTCAGACACCATGTTTTCAAGAGCACCCCTCCTGTCTTCTCGCCAAAGCTGCCGAGAACTAGGAGTCTGTCCCAGAAGAGTCTGGGGAGTTGGTCAGCAAACGAGTCATGGACACAGGTGTCATGGCCTTGCAGAAATTCCGAATCCAGCAAGAAACCAATAAACCTCGCCAAGAAAAAGTCTTCTTGGAAAGCGCTCTGGGGACTAGTGGAGAAGGAAGAAGAATCGCAGGGGTCGCCTGCAGGGATCCAGCTTCAGGGACCCAGAACAGTGAAGCAGGGTGGTCTTCCCAGCCAGCAGTGCTCCAGGTCCCTTTCTAGTGTGGACCAGTGCTTAGATCACGAAGGTAGGCATCTGAAAATTCTTTCTCTCCCGCACCCGAGTCTTTCCCTCCTTTGCGTGCGCGGTGGTTCATCTTTTCCTGCCTGGTAAGTGGCCTTAGACAGGGCACTCATGGTGCCTCAGTGTCCAACGTATTAGGATTCGGTAATAATTGCCCGGCTTTTCTCAAGACTGAGAGGAAGATGATGGCAGGGCGGGGTGATAAGACTGGTTTTCTGGCTCCACTGTCTGTAACTAAGCTTGCTGCCCAAACTTCTAATTCTCTGTGCCAGAGACCAACAGGAAGGAAAGAGCCCCACACAGGGGCTCAGGCTGCGGCACTTCCTGAGACACGACTCTCAGGGCCTTTGCTTTTCCATCCGCACACCAGGGTATCCCATCCCCCCTACCTCTAGGGGTTGATGGAAAGATCAGAGAGCTATATATAAAAATATTCTTCAAAGTATAAACCGTTCCAAAAAAAAAAGAAAACCCTCTGAGAAGCATTTTAACAAAATCTTCCCTCGGTAGGACAAAATTAATTGTACTGAATGAAACATTTTGATGAAAAGCCTTGTCACAGACAGCTGCCCTTTGTCCACACACCTTGGCAGACGCATCTTCTTCTGCAACAAGGCCCACTGCCCAGTGCCCGTATTTTCAAAGAAAGCCCCCCTCCTGCTGGCTTTGATTGGCCACCTGGTAACTTGTTAACAATTAGTCAACAGGTGGCAGCAATGCCTTGATTTTAAAATGTGACTGTCCCAGCTGACTTGGACTATCAGCCCCCTTCATGGACAGCTTTCGATCATTCACGATGGTCAAGGAACTTTCCGATTCCCACTAGAGTTATAGAAGTTTAGAACAGCAGGCGTTGGGGTCAGAGTTACCTGGGGGAAGTTCATGGCACAGATAAGACGAGGAAACGAGAGTCCCAAGGAAGAGGCTTGACAAAGGACACACAACGGGTAAGTAGCAGGGCCTGGACCAAACTGAAGTCATCATCTAGGGCTTTGACAACAGGCACCTGCTCTCGGCCCTGCCCGGCTAAGCCTGGCAGTAGTGACTCTAGAGCAAAGGGGGGCGGCTCCCTGCTGTCCTCTCCTCTGTCCCTCCCTGCAACCGCTCCACCCGCCACCCTTGCCCAGCTCGGCTCCTTCAGCATTATCTGGCTCTGGAGCAAAGAGCAGTTGGGAGGCACCTAACTAGGCTCTTCTGCTTCGCCTGCACCGTGGACTTTGCCTGGAGTCAGAGAAAACTTTTACAGACTTTCAATTTGGGGGCTTTTCCTAAGATAAATGACGTTCTGTATTTTGATATTTACTAAAGTGTCATTTGACCTTTTTTTTTATTTCCTAAAATTTTGAGAGAAGCTTTTTTCTTTTTTCTTTCCAGTGGGGAAAGAAATCTTTTATGTAAGATTTAGAATAAAAGATTGAATTTAAAAAAACACGTAGACGACAGGCTTACGTGCTAAATAACTGAATAGTATCTGTGGCTGGAAAACAGCACATAACAAGATCTATATTCTCCCTAAAACAGTAGAAAGCACTACCTCCTAAGGAGGTTTTGCTTTGAACACACCTGTACAGCTCATCTTCCCTTCTCACCTTTCTCCTCGCTTTCCTGTTTGTTTAGTTAATTATGTGGTTCTTACGTTATTTGTATTGGCTTTACGTTGGGCGTGACCCGAGAGAGCCTCAGTCCTATTTCTCTTCTGACACATACAAGTCAGAGCTGAGCAGTTGCTTTTTCACCTGGGTTCTTTTAACCAAAGATCACAATTTAGCCTTGGGCTGCCATTTCTGGAACTCAGATACCAGGTGTACGTGGGAACTGGGAGGTTATGTCCCAAGACGACAGTGTATTAGGAAGAGGCCTTAGAATGCAGAAAAACGGACATTAGCACCAGTTTTAAAGACTACCAATCTGGACTGTCCCATTGTGAGTCTTTTTTCCTCCATAGCTATGATTTCCTACACATGGAATGTACGGTTAAGATTAGGCTCAGCGATATATAGAGGAAAATCCAAGTAACTATGGCTTAAATAATACAGAAGTTTACTTTCCTCTCCCTAAAAAGAAGATGAAAATTTGGCAGCTCAGGCCTCATTTGGCCGTTCCACGAGGTCAGTAGGGATTCCTGGGAGTTCTGCCATCCCTCAGCTCGTGGCTTCTAAACTCAAAGTCACCTTATATCCTAAGGTAGCTCTGGGACTCCAGCCATCGCGTCTACCTATCAAGCAGGAAGAGAAAGGAAGCAGGGGCACCTTGCAAAGGCACCTTCTTTCTAGATAACTCAGCTCCCTTCTAGAGAGCTCTCTTGAAACTGCTCCCAACTTCAGATGTCTCATTGGCCACCCCCTTCTACAGGGGAGGCTGGGAAATGTGGTTGGTTCAGCTGGGTCTTTGCTGCCACTCACATTGTAAGTGGCTGTTACTACGAAAGAAAAAGAAAACGGGTAGAGTGGGAATAGTTGTCTCTACCACATGGAAGTCACTCCTAATCTCCCTGCCCCTTCTCTTTAAAACAAATGCCTCGGGCCCCAGGCTGCCCGGCACCCTCCTGCCCTGCCCCTCTGCTCTCTCAGTGACCCCTGAACTAGACTCCAAAGGACAAGCAGCCCTCTCCCACGCCCATCCAATTTTCCCTTGCCTATCAGATGGGACCAAGTCTGACAAGAAGAGATTCTCTTCCTTTTTAAAATCAAGGCATTCAAGGTGGGAATCTTAACTACAGCTAGTTCATCTTAGTCCAGATGTGCTCGTGTGTCGTTTTTCCTGCACGTATTTCATCTGCACCCCTCGCTCTGTGGCCACCGAGTCATAGAAATCACTGCCCTGTGCACAGGTTAGCCAGAGTGGGCACTTCCGTGCCTGCGGGTGGCCTTGTGGTTGCCCTGCCATAGGGTGGGGGGAGAGGAAGTGATGGGGGCCTTCATCAGCCTTCTTAGCATGCAAGATGGGCAGAGGGTGACTGTCGATGGTAGAACCATGCACTGATCACCCAGGACAGGCTACCGAAGGTTGTAGAGGTAGCAGAGGTAGGCTCTCCTGTCCCGTCTCCTGGGACATGCAATGGAAGGTTCCCCTGACTTTGGGAGCAAGACTCTTGCCATTTCCTTGCCAGGGGCCGCGGGAGGCCAGCATTCAGGAGGGGGCTGGTTGGGCTGCAGTAAGGTGATTAAAAAGTAGAAAGTATGTTCAGTTTGGTTATTAAAATGAGAAGGCAAATCATTGATCCTCTTTTCCTTGACTTCTCTCTCTAACTCATTCTTTATTTTTGGACCCTATGAACGAAGCATGAGAAAAATGGCTTTACAAGCAGATGTCCCTCTGAGGACGGCCCTATGGACAGAGCACCGAAGCTCTCATGCTATGGAGGAACCCAGGGAGAGAGGATGTGATGTCACAACCCGTTTCTCATGGGACACCACCTCCCAGGACCCAGCCCTTGCCTCTCTTATCCCTCATGACTTACCAAGCCCGGGAGCTCCCCATGAATTTTGACACCCCAACCTTCTGCCCAAAACCCTATTCCATTACTTTCTTCAAGTCTCATGAATTAACTAGTGTTATTCTTCAAACGTTACATGGTACAACTCAGCCGCTCCATTTGGCATCAAAAACGGAGCTTGTGCAGCTCTTAAAAGTTGAGACCGTAATGACAAATCAACAATGAAAATTTCCCTACCCAACAACTCAGCCATACCACCTACCCACCCCCCCTCACCCTGTCCCCGACCTGGGGCCAGTGCTGACTTGTCTGTCACAGGCTATAGTGTTCAGTGGACCCATGCCAGTTAAACTTTTCTGTCCCCCGATGCTCTATTCTGTAATTCTGCAAGCAGATACATGACGTAATTCTTGTCTTGATGGTGAGTTCTCGTAGGCCCTGGGTTGCACACTGTGCACCCTTGTTTATCTCTCAGCATTCATTACTGCTTTCCAGGACTAGAGGAGAGAGAAGTCACAGAACTATACCAGCAAGGAGAGTTCAATGTTTACGTGATAATGGGCTTGGATGATGAACATGGCCTGTGAGTAGGGGTATTTCTTTCCCTCAGTGACCAACTCCCAAACGATGCCAAAATATTGAATGTCCTGTGCACATAGGGGTCAGCTCTCTGAGGTGTAAGGCATGTCCAGAAAAAAGAATAAAAATAAAAGCATAATGAGCATTCCCTCAAGGAAAGAACTAAGCGCTCCCTTTCGTCTTTCTTCCCTTGCAAAGGAGAAAGAAGACCATAATTTTGCAAGACTTCAAAAAGAGGGTGCAGAAGGGTAATTGTTTCAAGGTGACAATCACCCGTCCGTACTCCTCCCACATCCCAGCCTCTGCCAGGCAACTGCCAGTCCTTTCCGAAGAATGACCCTCCCCCCCCACACTCCTGGGCAATTTCCTCTCATTCCGGGCTGGTCTTTTCATCGTGGGCAACTGCGCATACCAATGAGCCAGGCCAAGCTCTTCTGGGAAGGGCCTCTCAGCACCGTTTTGTCTTGTTTCAGCGGCGGACCCCAAAGTTGTTTCCATTGCCAACCGAGTTGCAGAAATTGTTTATTCCTGGCCACCACTAGAAGCCCAGGGAGGTGGCATCAAGTCCAGTGAAAATTTCGAGTTCCAGGGTCTCTGCTTTCAGGGTGAAGGCGCCCAGCCTACAGCTTCAAGTTCTAAGAAAGGTAAACTTTCTTTCCGAGTGTTCGCGTGGGGTGGAGCGTTTGCCAGTCAGAGGTATAGGGGCGTTTATGTATTTATTCAGCCCAAGGCTCTGCAATTTGAGAGTCTCTGCTGACCAGACTCGAGGGCATGACGGCCACATGCCGGGTCACTGAGCTCTAGCTGGAGACCCCGGCCCCAGGCTGGGGGACTGCACGGGCAGGTCGAACCAGCATGCCCAGCTCCCTAAATCAGAAGAAAAGTCTCCCACTAAGGGAGAGGAGGACACACAAAACGTGCATTCGGCCTTGTCCACAGGGGGAAATGCAGTGTTAGATTTGATCATGTTGCCAGTGACCCTGGACCAGTTTGTGTTGGGTATAGTTGGAGCATCAAGCCAGAAGTTTATAGCATTGCTGTGGGCTCCTGTGGAAACGCAGGGGTTGTCAGACAGCAGGGCTGGTGCGGAACAAGGAGCAGAACTGAGAAGGAGTGACCAGGCTGGGCCAGTTGTCACCCAAACCAGAGCAATAGCTGGGACTGCAGATCCCACCAGGCTGATGGGAACTCTGGGCTCTGAGGGGAGGGTGAAGGGGACTAGCACCAAGTGCCACAGGGAGAGAAGCTTGGTCCCACCTTCCCTCAACAGCGACAGGCCTCGCTCCCACTCTCTCTCTCCCCAAAGCCAGGTGGAGGATGCAGTTGGGGTGTGATGTGTATGTGGGAATGGGGAGGTGGAGGATGACTGTTCTCGTCCCAGCACTTGCTAACAACTAACCACGAGAAGAATGGCCACTGCCATTGGAGGTGGCTCCTGGGTTTGCAGCACCCTGAGGGACAAAGTGCAAGTTCTCCCTACAAAGGTACCAGTGTCTCCTGACCCCTGAAGCAGAACGGTGTCCACACTCTGGGGACCACAAATTGCCACCAAGGCTCCGAGGAAGGAGCCAGGGAGAGGAGGAGCCCCCTGAATCTGCTGAAAAGAAAGCATCAACACCACAATGCTATGCCAAGGGTGTCAGGGAGGTGGAATTCAATCCCTAAGCCAAGCGAAAGCTCAAGCCCTCGTCTTCTGTGCGTGGGAGAAACTCAGGCAGCTGGTCCGCAACTTCCCCAAGACAGGCAGCAGCAGATGACAACTCCACTCGGGCCGTGCAGACACCTGTGCTTCCTTCTCTCCAGCCACCTGAGTCTCAGTCTTCCCACTCACCCCTAGGCCTTCTTGGGACTTGCTTCTTCCATCTCCTGGCCTCTCTTTCCCCCTTACTGGGGACAAACATGAGGACTGCATGGCCGCAGAGATTGTGCTGTTCTCTCAGTACCTGCCTTCTCTCCGTTTGGCTTCTGTCCTGCAGCAGTGGCCGTTCTCCTCGTGCTTAGTTGTTAGCAAGTGCTGGGACGAGAACAGTCACCCTCCACCTCCCCATTCCCACATACTCACCACACCCCAACTGCAGCCGTCCTCCCAGCCCCCCGCCATCTTGGCCTCGAGGGTGGGGACTTCATTAATTTTATCTGTTTATACCGCACCTTGTTGTGCGGAGAAACAGCATACAAAGGATACGTTTTAGTCAGATAAAATAAATCAAATTTGAAAGATAATGTAAAAAGAATACAAACACTGGAAAATAAGATGGGTTTAGGAATGAGGTTAGTTCCCAAACTGTAGGCCAAGGGGATCATACTCCCTTCTAGATGAGGGCCGCAGATTTGGCTCTATACTTTCTTTCTAGCAGTGAACACAAAGGGGGAAAGATAATCAAATATGGGATTTACGGTGTCCATAAGGAAAAAGTGCCATCTGCTGAGGAGAATTCCCAAAACCAAAGGGAAATTGCTCCTAAACGTCATCATAGGCAGGACCATGTGTCGTGGAACTGATGTCTTCAATGACATCTCATGGTAGACACGGTGATGAGTGTGACGGAGAGAACTGGGAGAACTGAAGGGCTGAGCAAAGGAAGAGGAGGGAAAAAAGAAAGGGGGGCGGACTGCAGGAGAAACGTCTGGAATGGTGTGTGTCTGAGCAGAAGAGGCGAGGGGAGATTTATTTGCTGAGAAGTAGACAGTATGCTTCTTCCTCGATCCCTTACCAAGCCACAAACATTCATTGCCACTGGAAAAATTTAAGATTATTTTTTGCCTCTTTTAAAAGAAATAACTGGAATTTTCCCCTGACAGATGAAGAAGACCAAATAATAGCCAAAATTGTTGAGCTGCTGAAATATTCAGGGGATCAGCTGGAGAGAGAGGTATGGGGCTCCTTGAACTAATGTGATTTCTCTCTGTGCCCTGCACTGATACACGAGAAAGGAATGGCACTCCAGGTTGCAGACTTATTCCTTTTCAAAGTTCTGGTTTCTCCATAGCTCTAAATTTTATTTCCCTTGGAGTCAAAATTCTTCATGCTGGCAGCATCTCAAAAATGAATCACTTTGGAAAACATAAGTAAACCTCCTGGAGCCTCCTTGGAATTTTTGGAAACTAAAAAAGGAACTTGTTATTGCAAGAAAAAAACATCAGTAAATTAACATTTGCTGGATGGAAATATTAACCTCGTTCCCCATGTAACAGATCCTCAGTGAAGTTTAGACTCTCGTGTGTGCCCTGCAGCCTGGATGTCTGTGCCCCACCGTCACTCAAAGGCTGGAGTCCTTTCCGAAACCCTCTCCCCGTTTGGTTGCTGGGCTGCTGTCTGCTCAAGGTCTCCCTCAGCAATTGGGCAGGGAGCCAGGGTAGCGTTACTTGGAGAACTTGTGGTTTTCCTGCCATTTAGAAGTTGAGACCCACCCTTCCAAGCAGGAACACGGGAGAGTTGCTCCCAGGTAAAGAGCTGGTTAGCAACCCCCGATGTAGTCAGAAGGGCTTCTCTTCTGTGTCCAGAGACTACTGAGTAATCTCTCGGGTGTGTCAATCTGGGTCTACCCTGTGGTCGTATGTCCTTGTTTTGCCAGGACCCTTGGCGACAGAGTCAGGCCCTGGGGGGGCTTCTGCAGGAGGGGAAGACAGCACTGACTGGCCTGCCACCCTACCCCAACATAGCAAGCTCCGGCCCCTCTCCTAATAGCTGCGTGAGAACTGTGCCCACAGGATGGTAACCAGGAGGGTGAAGGGCCTGGGACGTGGTGCAGAATGAGAAACAGTGAGAAAACCAGGGACATTCGGCTGCAGAAAAGAGAAGGGGATGTGTGAGCTCTGGGGCCACAAGTAAGGGTGGAGAGCGGACAGAGGAAGCAGGAAACACAACAGGATGCATGGTTTCAGGACAGCCCTGCATTTCTCCAGAGCGAGCATCATGGATATAGAAGCGATGGGGTGAATGATATCCCCTTATCGTAAAAATGAACTTTCCGGCACTCAGGCTGCGCATCAGGGTCAAGGGCTGCTTTGTGAAGGGATGATCTTCCTGGCACTGGAGGGACTGCGAGTAGGTGCCAATGACCAGGCAGCAGTGCAGCCCCCAACTCGGAGGGGTCCTTCAGACGTCCTCGAGGACGCTCACGGCAGCCTCCTGCCCAGCTTCCCTAAGGAGTGACGAGGCTGCCAGTCGGAGGCCAGGGAGGCTGGGGCTGGCAGGGGGTGGGCCACCCTGGGCTTGAAGAACAATGCTTTCCTTTTCCCTTCGCAAATTACTACTCTCAAAATCCTCACTTCGCCCGATGCCCTCTCTTGGTGATTTTGCCTGGACACATTTCCCCAGCAGAGGACCCTGGGAGGGACGTGGGGCGGGTGTGCCCTGGCGCTGTGTCGGGGGAGCTCCCAGCGCAGAGTGGGACAGCAAGGCTGGGGCAAGGCAGGCCAGGGCCAGGGGAGGTCTGCAGGGCCACTGGCCCCGGGCCGCGAGTGCAGGCTCGTCCTGTGCCTCTCTGAGAGGCCAAGAGCCAGGTGCAACCCGGAGGGACAGGGGAGGGAAAGCAAGGGACGAGCTCTGGGGAAAGCCTGTCTTTCTGGAGTTGGATTCTTTTACTGTCCTGGCAGAGTCTGACGTGCGGCTGCCCACTAAGGTTTGAGCCGCGCTCATGGGTTGGGTCGCGGATGAAAAGGAGGCCGTTCTTGGTGTGGGGGCAGCTGGCCATTCCCACTCCAGACTTATAACCCAGACGGGACCCGGGAGTTGGGGGTGGGCTTGGTTCAGGGAAAGGACACTCACCGCTCCACCAAAGCCTCGCACAGCATCTGACTCATCCCCCAGACATCCCTCTCAGAAACAGCATTTGCTGAAAACCTGCTTAGCTTATCATTCCTCAAGGACAGAGCTAGAGGATTTTCAAATAAACATTCGTCCCTGTTCACTGAGAAATTTCCGTTTTCACATGACAGCCATCATATGAACAGACATTTAGGGGTGGCTTTAAATGAGGACGATATACGGCTTTTTGACATAAGCCCTGATTTTTCAAAAGAAGCAGAGGAAGCACTGGTTTAAAAAACAAAGTATGACGTAACCTAGACATCTGTACCCCCATAATATGCTGAAATTAAAAAAAAAAAAGTATGGTCGTTCAAAGGAGGTAAAACAGAGAGATACCAGGTTCAAGGGAGGGCGAGAGGTACAATCAACTGGGTAGAGTAATGGGAAAGGAATCAATGGAATAGATTTGTTTTAAAAAGTTAACATATGTGCGTCAGGGAGTCCTCCCTAACCCCCACACTCCCGCAGTGTCCTGAAAAAATGACCATTTCCAGAGCACCTCCTCCATGTCCAGCACTCTGCTAAGGGTTCAGTTACTCTACAGTATAGGTACTGTCGCCTTCCTAGTTTAGAGATGGCAGAACTGAGCCTGACAGGTTAAGCAATTTCCCCAGGTTTGCAGCGCTAGCAGGAGGTGGAGCAGAGGTTTGAGCCACGACAGTGATTTCCAGGCTTCGGATCCTGTCCGTCGCGCGACCTCTAGCAAAGCGCGTAGTAATTCCTTGCAGTGGCCACGAGACTGCGAGCCCCTCGGGTGAGGGCCCGCCCGCTGTAAGTGCTCAGGAAACACGGGTTGCACGTTGAATGCACGGACTGTTCCATTTTACCCCCAATTTGTCCCCATGAAATGAATACACAGACCAGCACATACCAGTCTGGTTCTTCAGGACGCTGTGCCTTGATTGAGAGCAGCATCCAGGGTTTGTCCACAGACTGTCCAGGTGGCCCACGTTTGAGCTAAAGCGTGGTCTCTGCCGGCCTCGCTGTGCCAGGCTGCTCTACTGATTGCTTGTGCTCTTCTGCGCAGTTGAAGAAAGACAAGGCTTTGGTGAGCAGCTTCCCGGATGGGCTGCCCTACTCCGTTTTCAAGACCGTCACAGACCAGTTCCTAAGGGGTGTGGACACCAGGGGAGAATCCGAGGTCAAAGCTCGGGGCTTTAAGGCTGCCCTTGCGATAGACGCCATGGCCAAGCTCACAGCTATCGACAACCACCCGATGAACAGGGTGCTGGGCTTTGGGGCCAAGTACCTGAAGGAGAACTTCTCGCCCTGGGTCCAGCAGCAGGGTGGATGGGTAAGTGCATCCCATTTAAACGCGAATCTTCTCAGAACTCAGAAAAGATGGGATAGAAAGTTGTGTTTTTTTTTTTAAGTGAAGGGAACATGTCTATGAGGCAGTTCTCATGGGTTTAGGACACTTGAGTGGCAAGAGATACATCCCATGGATGGGAACATATTTTTAGTGATTGTCTTCATCAGTAATAAATATTTACTGAGCTCCGCCAGGGTACGTGGGACATGTGTGTGCAAGGAGAGGGACTGGTCGGATGTAACAGGAAATGAGGAGATGCTGATATAAGATGTTTAGATAGATGTGATTTCTGTTTTCACAAATTTTGCAGGCAACAGAAGTCTGGCAGCGATACGAGGGCAGGCAGGCAGTTCTCACACGCGCGGATACTGGCAGTGTTTTGGGGCTGATGCTCATGCGGAGATTCGGGGTCCCTCACATTTTGTCATTGCTGCTTTGACTGAACCATTTTGACAGGGACATTTTGGAACAAACTAAAAAGCAAACAATTACATCTTCAGCTATTTTTAATCACCTGGTATCAGTCAAAACAAACATCTTCCCCTGTGGCTCAGCCTCAACTCCTCCTCCACCCTTTGTCCTCATTCCTTGACATCTAAAAGCTGCCAGGTTCACGTGGCTACCGAGGTCGCCCTTGACAAATGCTCCACCCCAGAAATCTAAGTCTCAAGAGGCCCAGGCATTCCTAGGACTACAGGCCTTCATCCCACCTTGTCCTAAGCCCTCTTTCCATTAGAATGGTCCAGGGCCACTAGTAAGTTTGAGTCGGCTCTAGGCATGGCCAGAGTGACTCTGGGACCTCCAAGCAGGCATGGTCTCTTGGCTGCCAGAAGGAAAGGGTCACCGATCTCACCCAAGGGGCCGAAGTGCCCACCGTGCAGCATAATGACATGCACATTTCAAGCATTCATTTTTAAATCATTATTAGTCCTGTCAATGTTTTTCCAGGTGGTGCAGTAGGTAGCTCACTCTTGTAATCCTAGCACTCTGGGAGGCCAAGGTGGGAGGATCGTTTGAGGTCAGGAGTTTGAGACCAGCCTGAGCAAGAGCGAGACCCCGTCTCTACTAAAAATAGAAAAATTGGCAGGGTGTGGTGGCACATATCTGTAGTCCCAGCTACTCAAGAGGCTGAGGCAGGAGGATCATTGGAGCCAAGGAGTTTGAGGTTGCTGTGAGCTATGATGATGCCACTGCACTCTAGTCTGGGCAACAGAGCAAGACTCTGTCTCAAAAAAAAAAAAAAAATATATATATATATATATATATGTGCTAAGTGAAAGAAGTCAGACACAAAGGCAATATATTGTATGATTCCATTAATATGGAATATCCAGAATAGGCAAACTCATAAAGACAGAAAGTAGATTGGTGGTTTCCAGAGACTGGGAGATGAGGGAATAGGAGTAACTGCTAATGGATATGAAGTTTCTTTTTGGAGTGATGGTAACATTCTAAACTCAGAAGTGAGTCGCACAACTCTGTGGACGTACTAAAAACCACTGAATTATGCACTTTAACAGGGTGAATTTATGGTATAATTATATTTCAATAAATCTGTTATAAAAACAGTGGTTCTAATTCTAGTAATCAAATAAAAAGAGAAAAGAAAAATGAACGCATTTATTTTTTTAATTTGGCTGCTGGTGCAAGAGAGAAAAACAGTTCCTACTAGAGAAAACAGATGAATTCTTCAGTAGAAATACTAAAGCAGATTTTCAAACGCTTCAGAAACAGATGGCACTCATTCTTTATCATCTGTAGTTTCAACTCAAAACGTATTACTTATCCAGGTTACCATAAACCTTAATCTTAACTCCTGGCCATAGTCAGGTTTAATTTAGAGCATGTAAGTGGAATTTGGGAGAAGAAAGAAAAAGAATGTGGGAGGAAGGACTTATTTTTTCCAAAGTGACAGAAAAGTGTTGAAAAAAATAAAGGATGTTGATAAAAGAAAATTTATGAGCAAATATGAGCTGATGTGAGCTGTGGCAGTGTGAAGGAGACGTGGGCTGGTGCCTGTGCTCAGAATCCCTGAACAGGAAAGGAAGAAGACATCGAGGGCTGAGCCTCCAGAGACTTCCACTGGCCATAAGTACTTTCGTGGCTCTCCGTGGTGTCCTTGTAGTGGTGTGGAAGGAGGGAAAACTATTCCCATGCACAAGTTTGCAGAAGCTCAGGGTTCCTAACCATCTCATCATTCCATATTTCCTATGAGTGCATCCAATCTTCCCAACTCAACTGCAAATCTGTGAGGGTAAGACGCTGTATTTGATGCCTCCTTTAATCTCCCAGAGCGCCTATTACTTTACATACATCATAGATGTTCAGCCAATACTTGTACGACAGTGAATGAATCAGTCAAATGAATGAATAGCAACTCCATCCACAACACATGCTAAACACCTCCTGTGAGATCTTCATTGACTTCTGGGCTCCTTCTCCTCCCTGTGGAGCACTGTTCCCATAGTTACTCTGCAGTCTTGCAGCCTTACCCATTCTGTAGCAAAAGGGGAAGTTTGCAACCTTCGTAGTCATCAACCTTTCAGTACCTGTTTTTCTTTTTTCTTTTCGCATTTTAAATACAGACTCAAAGCTTTGCCATCCTCAAGAAAAGGCCCAGCGTGTTAGCCGGAGGTATGTAACATAAGACCACGGCTGACGTTTTCCTTGTGGGCATACCAAGGATGCCAGCCACCTCTCCAAACCCTCCCCCAACCCAACGTAGTCTCGGAGCCTCAGGTCATGCCTGGGATAAGAGCAGAGTTAACAGGCATATGTTTTCACTTCCACAGTGAATCAAACTTGGAATTTTAAGAATCTATTTCTTTCCCCGCCCCCAGGAAAAAATACTTGGGCTATCACATGAAGAAATAGACTGAAACGTCAGCTTTGCCGTCTGGAATACTCATTGTCCAACTGTGGTCCTGTGCACATTGGTCTTGGTGAGGATTACAGGAGAAAATTAAAACGTGCAAGGCAGATGGAGCACTGAAGTTTTTAAAACCACCATTCCTGCGACCCGAGACGCATCAGGAGAGGCCTCGTTCGTCTCCCACTCACGGACTGTGGTAGCAGGGTCCTTGACACTGACGTGTCTTAGGCCTTCCATTGCGTGTATGAAGAAGTCTGTAAAAAGTGGCCATTTTCCTTTCAAATGTTCAGAACAGAAACTGTCACCCTGCCTGTGTGAGCTACTTTAGGGAAAGTGTGTTACCGATGTCTGCTGACCTCCTGAGGGTGAAATGTGCGTGTGCTCACTCTTCGGTTTCTAGTACTATTTACTTTTAAACTACACCTGGGACGGCCTAATAATGACACTGTTTCAAGCCCACCTTTAGGAAGAGGTTGCTATTTGTGTTCGTAGGCATAGCTTAAAGAAACTCTTAAATTGACTGCTACATCCACTAGTTTGGGGATATGACTTTTTGACTCACTTCTCTTGGAAACTTCTTCATCAGTTTGAAAAACTTCCATGTGGTACAAAACTGTCATTCCAACCACCCTCCTCTCTCTTCTCAATGACCGCACCTCTCCTTCCCAAGGTCTCTGGTACTTTCCCTATTATTCTTTGTGGGCATGTAATGACTGGTAGCTGGTAAAATAAATACATAGAAAGACTACTGTCAAAAGAGTGTCTTCTGATTAGAATAAGTAATATGTAATAGTACTAGGGTTTCTATGAAGATCAAATGAGCCAATTTACATAAAGCACTCAGAACAGTTCTTGCTACCTAGTGGTCTCATTAATGTTCCTTAATACGTGCTGCCCTCCACTAAGCTGAAAATATCCTCTTCTCTCAAAGCAGTCCTTGATTGCTTTTCTGAAATTGAGGCTGTTCAGAATGAAATTTCTTTTAGTAAGTGAAATATGTTCAATAGTCAGTGTTTAAGACACAACAATTAAAAAATACAATCAAATTATAAGATCTGACAAATTTCTGGATCTTTAGCACCCAGCATATGGCCGAATGTAAAGTAAGTGCTTACTGAGCCTTTTGATGAACAGAGAAATGAATAAGTCAATAAGACATACTTTCAGGCTCAAGGGAAAATTGGGTTTATCTATTATCAAATGCTTCATTAGGCCACTCATCTCAATAAAATGAGTTATTCTGTTTTATTTTCTTTTCCTATATGAAAGTCATGTTAGGGGTAAAGGAGTCTCCTCTTATATATAGATGGAGACACTGGAGACCATCACTTACCCCACTCTGATCCAACCATTCCAAACTACTTTCAGTTCCCCAAATGTATTATGCAACCTTGTACCTCTGAGCCCTTGCAACCATATTCTCTCTACCTGGAATGTTCTTCCTGTCAGCCTCCCTGTTCCCCTATTCCCACTAAAACAACTAACTCCAGACCATCTTTCCAAATTTACTCCATTTCCTCCAGGAATCATTTGCTAACCCTTCCTTGGCCATCATGGGGCTATATTTGGATGCCTTTCCTCATAAGGATTCTCCAAAACCCCCTCCACACAGACATTATACTTAATACACTGGACTATAAGAACTGGTGTACCCCAGTCTTTCTTGGTGAATTGTAAAAACTTCTGTAGACAAGTGTTATGTCTAACTTAACTTTGTATATTGAATACGTGGCATATTTTTGGCACCCAATTGCAGGATCTTATCCTAGCCTCGCTGCTATAACTTATAAATCAATACGACTGGAGTATGGCCCAAGATATGTGTCATTATAACAAGCTCTCCAAGAGTTCCCAATATCATCTGCAGCTTATGGTCAAGATGAAGTAACAGTAACCAGATTTAATCTCCTATTTGAACCAACTGAAAAAACCAGACAAAATATGTGAAACCACAATTTTCAAGGCATTGGACATCAGCTAATGAAGAACAGGTCCCCGAAGTGAGCCCTGTGATTGCCCCAGAGTACAGAATGTGAGGAGTGTCCAGGCCGTGCTGGAGCGAGGGGAACCCTCACAGAGTTCACCAGTCTCCTTAGTAAAGGAGGTACAGCTGGGAGTCTGGCAGGGCCACAGAAGCTAAAGTTTGCAGGCAGATAAAGGAGAAAAGAGAGTCACACACAAAACTCCAGAGACCCGCTGATAGTTTCCCTTAGGTCTTCAGATGAGTACTGATCAAAACATACATGTGAAGAAATTACCCATGGCTTGGGAAAGAACAACCTGAAAATATTAAAATAACACTCTCCAAAGCTTACAAGAGGCCAGGGGTAATGCCTTTATTTTGGCAATAGGTAGACCACTCCAAAGAATTTTTCCTCAGAAATGGGAAAAAATTAGCCCTAGACTAAACATTCTTCTGGTCTTGCCCCACAAAGATTAAGAGCAAAAACTGAAAGGACTAAACTGTTATCGAATAATTCAGCAGTGTTCCAGAACAAACTCAAGAATCTTTACAGGATTACCAAAATATCCAACACCCAACAAGGTAATATTCACAATGTCTGGCATCTAATCAAAAATTACAAGGCATGCAAGGAAGCAGAAAAATGTGACTCATAATGGGGAGAAAAATCAAGAAAACTAGAAAAGATACAGCTGATAGAATTATTAGACAAGGGTATTGAAGTCATCATAATTGTATTCCATATGTTCAAAAATAAGCCAGAAGAATGACTGAACACGTGAAGTACATATACAAGTTATGACTCAAACCAAACATCTGGAGACGAAATGTATAACATCTTAGATGGATTCGACGCTGGATTAGATTAACAGCAGATTAGACATCATGGAATAGTAAGTAATAAGTAAAGAATACGTAAACTGAATACATAGCAATAGATCCAAAATAAAACATAGAGAAAAACAATTGAGGAGGGGGAACGAACAACAACAGTGAATTATTGGGTGACTTTTAACAGCATAAATAGATGTGTAATTGCAGTGATAATTTTCCAAATTTGACAAAAACTATAAACCCATAGAACCAAAAAATTTAAGAAATACCAAGCACCAAAAACATGTAGAAAACTAACTAAGGCACACCATAAATTGCTCAAAACTGGTAACAAACAAAAAAATCTTCAAAGCAAGTAGAGAAAAAGGCATATCACATACAGAGGAAAAAAAATTAAAATGACAGCAAACTTCTTGGGAAATAATACAAGACAGAAGGAAGCAGAGTAACCTCTCTAAAATATCAAAAGAAAAAAAAAGCTATAAACACAGAATTCTATACCCACCCAAAAGATGATTTCAAAAATGAAGGAGAAATAAAGACTTTTTGAAATGTACAAAACCTAAAATGATTCCTTACTAACAGACCTGGACTACAATAAATATTAAAGGAAGCCCTTTAGGCAGAAACCAAATTATACCAAATAGAAATCTGTTCTACAAAAAGAAAAAAAAAAAGAAGGAAGAACACTGGAAGTGATAAAATGTGAGTAAATAAAAAAAGACTCTTTTCATTTAAAAGATAATGTGTACTGTTTAAAGGAAAAATAATAATGTGTCGTGGGGTGTATAACATTTGTAGAACAAAATGTGTAACAGTAATAGTACAGAAGCTGGGAAGAGAGGCAGAAGTATAATTGCACGAAGCCATACCACATGTGAAGTATATAATTTCACTTGGAAGTAGACTATGGTAAGTTAAAAATGTATACTATAAACCCAAAAGCAACCACTAAAATACACATACACACACACAAGATTTATAGCTAATAAGCCAACAAGGGAGGTAAAATGAAATCATAAAAAATACTCAATCCAAAGTATGGCAAAAAGGAGGAAAAAGGGAACAAAGGAGAGATGAGACAAAAAGAAAACAACAGCAAGGTGGTTTAGTAAACGCAATCCTATCAATAATCACACTAAGTGAAAATGATATAAACATGCCAATTAAAAGGCAGAGATTATCAAATTGGATAAAAATAATCAGACCCAATTCTATATACATCCTACCAAAAGCCAAAAAAACTTTAAATACAAAAACATGAACAGATTAAAAGTAAAAGGGTGGAAAAAGATGTACCCTGATATAACATTAATCAAAAGAAAGATGGAGTGGCTATATTAATATCATCAAAGTAGATTCAAAGCAAAGAATATCATTTAATATAATAATAATAAAAGGGCCAATTTATCAAGAGTACATACCAATCCTTATATTTTTGCATCTATTATAATAACAGCCTCGAAATTCACAAAGCAAAAATGGATAGAATTGCAGTAGACAAAAACCACAATTATAGTTAGAGATTTCAATACCTCTTCCTCAATGATTGATAAAACCGGTAGACAGAAAATCAGTAAGGATACTATAGACTTGAACATCTGACCTAATTGAAATTATAGAGCATTGCAACCAACAACAGTAGAAAAAAACATTCTTTTCAGGTGTACATGTGACATTTACAAAGTTAAACTATCTTCTGGGCCATAAAACAAATCTCGATAAATGTAAAAGAATTCAAGTCATACAAAGAATGTTTGCTGACCACAGTGGAATTAAACTAGAAATCGATAACAAAGATATCTGGAAAATCCCTCGAATGTTTGGAAACTAAATAACATATGTCTAAATCACCTGTGGGTCAAAGAAGAAATCAAAAGGGAAATTAGAAAATATTTTGAACTTAAAAATGAGCACAGTATACCAGAATTTGTGAGAGGCACTAAAGTAATACTTTAGTACTTTAGTAGAAGGAAATTTATAGCACTAAACAGCTATATTAGAAAAAAATGGTCACTAATTCATGACTTCAGCTTGCACCTTAAACTAGAAAAGGTAAACCCAGAGTAGGCATGAGAAAGGAAATGATAAAGGGAATCAAAGAAATAGAAAACAAAACCCCAAAACTGGTTTGTAAGCTGACTGATCACATAAAAAGAGAAGACACAAGTTACTAATATCTGGAATGAAACAGGTGACATCAATCATAGGTTCCACAGATATTAAAAGGATAGTAAGAGAACATTATACATACCTGCATGCCAAAAATTTGACAACTTAGATGAAATGGACAAATTTCTTGCAAGACAGAAACTGCCAAAGCTCACTCAAGGAAAACAATGAAAAATGTACAATTTTGGATTAAAAAAAATTGGTAGTTTCGTAAAAAGGTAAATGTAACCATTTTATTGCTAGGAATTCTCTCAAAGGAAATAAATTTGGTCCAAAATTTGTACCAAATTTAGTAGCTTTATTTGTAAAAGTCCAAAATGAAAACAACCCAAATGTCCATTACGATATAAATGGATAAACAAATTGTGATACATGCATACAATAGTATATTATTCAATAATAAAAATGAATGAACTATTGGTATATGCTGAACATGGACAAATCTCTAAATAATTACACTAAGTGAAAGAAACTAGGCTAAAAAAAAGTATACACTTGTATATTTATACAAAATTGTAGAAAATCCAAATTAAGTGATAGAAAGCAGATTATTGG